TACCTATTTAATGCTAGGTGAACAGGGGCATTAAGGTGAAAGAAACTCTGCCCATTTGCCTCCGCCTCCACCGAGGATAGAACCCGGAACCCCAGGACTACGAATCCAAAGCGCTGTCCACTCAGCTGTCAGGCCCCCTTCCTGAAGTACATTGGAAAATATATAAAAGCATGATAGCTTTTTTGTCTAAATTATTTGTTTATTTTTACTACATTAGGTAGCTTTCTGGATTGGTGTCGATCTCGTTAAAACGCTCGTTAAGCCCTCGTTAAGCCCTCGTCTCTTTAACCTCCCTTTGCGAACAGTCGTTAACCATTCTTGTTACACAGACTCACTGTTAATACACCTCACTTGATGAATTCTTTCTTTAAACAGTAATCCGTTCGTTAATTCTCTCGTTAAACCAGAGTTTCGAACAATTAATAAACCGAAAATACCTAAAACGCCGGCTCGTTGTCAAGTGCCGTCGGGATGATAGGCAAATAGCCTCGGCTACCATCATAACCGTTAGAGAAGCCATTGTTGAATAGGACGTCCAAGTCATATATATATATATATATATATATATATATATATATTATATATATATATATATATATATATATATATATATATATATATATATATATATAATGTCCTGTGTAGGTATCCACTAGGAAAATGAAACGAAGTTCTCAACATTTCCAAAAAACGGAAACTTTCGTTTGATTTTCCTAGTGGATTCACCTAACGGAATCACGTGTGTGTGTGTGTGTGTGTGTGGTGTGTGTGTGTGTGTGTGTGTGTGTGTGTGTGTGTGTGTGTGTGTGTGTGTGTTTTATGTGTGTGATTATTCTGTATATAAATGTCGTGTATGTCTGTGTTTCGACACAGCATCGAAGACCCTTCCTGTGGTAGTTATACATATAGATACTGTGGCAAAAAATCTACTTAGTGTGTGGCCCTGATGGCAGATGACACCAGCAGTGAAAAATGAGAACGCTCTGATGGGGAGCTAAACGCTTGAGAAATATTTTTGTTCTGTCCAGACTCCGGGTCACGCTAGTGTTTGATAACACCAAAGATGAGAAATAAAATGTGAAAGCAAGTTTATATATATTTATCTCTAGTGTGTTTCGTAGTTCTCTCTCTCTCTCTGTCTCTGTCTGTCTGTTTCTCTCTCTCTCTCTGTCTCTGTCTCTCTCTCTCTGTCCTCTGTCTGTTTCTCTGTCTGTCTTCTCTCTCTCTCTCTCTCTCTCTCTCTCTCAATCTCTCTCTCTCTCTCTCTCTCTCTCTCTCTCTCTCTCTCTCTCTCTCTCTCTCTCTCTCTCTCTGTCTCTCCTCTCTCTCTCTCTCTCTCTGTCTCTCTCTCTCTCTCTCTCTCTCTCTCTCTCTCTCTCTCTCTCTCTCTCTCTCTCTCTCTCTCTCTCTCTCTATCTCCTTTTTAATTTCTCACTGTCAGTCACGACTGTAGGAAGCACCTGTCTGTTATAGATAGTCAATGTCCGCCCGCCCCTTTCACCCGCCTCTTTGGGTCCTCTGTCTCTCTGATCCACTGTCTCATCTGAAGCAACCTGATAATTGCGAACCACTCTTTACACTAACAGCCGGATGTTGGTGTTAAAGAGAGAGGGAGAGAGAGAGAGAGAGAGAGAGAGAGAGAGAGAGAGAGAGAGAGAGAGAGAGAGAGAGAGAGAGAGAGAGAGAGAGAGAGAGAGAGAGAGAGATAGGGCGTCGTTTACCAAGACAAAATATATATTCTCTCTTCTTTCTCTCTCTTTCTCTCTCACCATTCGTCTCCTCTTGCTACTTTCCTACTTTCCCTCACTTCTCCTTTCTCTTCTGTCTACCCGGGTGCTGAGACAAATAGTTGGAAGAAACTGTTTAAAAAATAAAAATATTTAAATAGGGAAAGAAGGAAACAAATAAACCATTAATTAACCCAACGTCCTGTGTCGCTGATGTTATCCTCTTGATGTGGGCTTCAGGGGACAGGTCTGGCGTGATATATCAACCCCTAAGTCTTTCTCTCTCTGACTCTTGAAGAATTTCCTCTCCTAAATCTTGTATCTGGCCTCATGCTCCCTACACCTATCTTCGTTACATTACATTTGCTTGGGTTAAACTCTAACAACCATTTGTTGGACCATTCCTTCAGTTTAGACCCCTTGTTGGTCCGTTTAACTGCTTAATTTAATAGTGACTTCTGTTTGAAAACGTAATTAGCTCTCAATGTAATTAAGATACTAGGGGATACCTTGAGATGCTTCCGGGGCTTAGCGTCCCCGCGGCCCGGTCCTCGACCAGGCCTGCTGGGGATCAGGTAACATTGTGAAAAATTGGGGGAGAAAGTAACTATACGATATATTAGCTAGGCAGCTAGACAAAAGACAGAATGGAAAAAAATAGTAGATTTGGAACAAAAATTTTTATAGTTAGCTTGGAGGGGAAAAAAACAACATTTCTTCCCTTGCAACAGACAGCGAATCCTTGATATGTTAGGGGAAAAAACACCAAAAATTGTTCAAACATAAACAGTGTTTTCTACCAAGGGGAATGTTTTCTTTATCATCTAAATTTTCAATGTTGCATATAATCTTTGCAATCTCGATTTATTTATATTGTATAATAAATTCGCAAAGGCGTTGTATCATTAGAAGCAGATATATGGGATTGGATGCCGCGTTGATAGCACTTATTGGTAAATATGTGTTGGATATATATGTGTGTTCACAGCATATGTTGACAGAATATTTCCAGAATATGAACAAATCCACAAGGGCCGTGACGAGGATTCGAACCTGCGTCCGGGAGCATCTCAGCCACTGCCTTAATTGACTGAGCTACGACAGGGTATATAAGTCTTTTAACCCTGTCGTAGCTCAGTCGATTAAGGCAGTGTCTGGGATGCTCCCGGACGCAGGTTCGAATCCTCGTCACGGCCCTTGTGGGTTTGTTCATTTGATGCATCATGTTAGTGTGATCTCTGTGTGTAATTTCCAGAATATGTTCTATAAAGAGTATACCATATACCAGCTTATTCATTATATTAAACGAATTATTGCTATCTGATTTTTTGGCCAGTGATTAATTATAATTTACTAATTTATCAAAATTATTATTATTATTATTGATTAAGAGAACTAGAAAATTACCAATATATTTTTTTTAAGATTATATATTTGGATGTGTAAATGATTATGTTAAGATTTATAACTTAAAGTGTGATTTATATATAAAATATAAACAGATGAAAAACACAGAAATAGCAAATACTAGACAAAGCTAGACACCACAAACCCAGAAACCCACAAACCCACAAACCCAGAAACCCACAAACCCAGAAACCCAGAAACCCACAAACCCAGAAACCCACAAACCCAGAAACCCAGAAACCCACAAACCCACAAACCCAGAAACCCACAAACCCAGAAACCCAGAAACCCAGAAACCCAGAAACCCACAAACCCAGAAACCCACAAACCCAGAAACCCACAAACCCAGAAACCCACAAACCCAGAAACCCACAAACCCAGAAACCCAGAAACCCAGAAACCCACAAACCCAGAAACCCACAAACCCACAAACCCACAAACCCAGAAACCCAGAAACCCAGAAACCCAGAAACCCAGAAACTCACAAACCCAGAAACCCACAAACCCAGAAACCCACAAACCCAGAAACCCACAAACCCAGAAACCCACAAACCCAGAAACCCACAAACCCAGAAACCCACAAACCCAGAAACCCACAAACCCAGAAACTAAGAATGGCTTGATACCGAGCAGATCTCCCTGAAACAGCATCCGAAGTTGCTTTACCAACATGTGAGTTTATCTCAGAGATTAAATGATGCTGGGAGTCATCTCAGAGATTAAATGCTGCTGGGACTCATCTCAGAGATTAAATGATGTTGGGACTCAGAGATTAAATGATGCTGGGACTCTTCTCAGAGATTAAATGATGCTGGGACTCAGAGATTAAATGATGTTGGGACTCAGAGATTAAATGATGCTGGGACTCTTCTCAGAGATTAAATGATGCTGGGATTCATCTCAGAGATTAAATGATGCTGGAACTCATCTCAGAGATTAAATGATGCTATGACTTCTCTCAGAGATTAAATGATGGTGGGACTCATCTCAGAGATTAAATGATGCTGGGACTTATCTCATAGATTAAATGCTGGGACGCATCTCCCAGGTAACGAAGCACCTAGGCATCATCCACATAGAACCAAACAACCACCTAATGAGGCATTTCAAGTCATTAAGTAATTAAGCAATTAATTACTATGCCTTAAGTAATTAAGACATAACAAATGACAAAAACTACCCCTCTTCCTCCAATCTAATGGCTGATTAAGCTATAGCCATTTAATCACAGTAATAATATACTTTGAATCATAATAATCTCTGGCTCAAAGTCTATGTCAAAATGAACTTAAGTTCTTGAAAAGCCTCGTCGTTCGCTAAGAAACGAGCTCGCTGTTAACCCAAAAAGCTAAATCATTCACAGTTGAGATTAATTACCAGGAACGAACTATTGCAACCATTGAAACTACGTTTATTGGGACTATAAAATACATCACAAAGGAATAGAACAGCTTAGGCAATTTGAAGCCTATTCCTGTTCTTTATTTGTTTTTCAGATATATTTCTTATTCCCTTATTTATGGCTTATTTCTTATTTCTTGGCTATTTTATGGGCCTTATTCCTCGGTATAATAAAGCTCAATATCTGCTTATCTTTAGTCAATTATGCTTACTGACTTTACAAATCTTATTGATCAGCTAATCCTGATCATACGTGATCACTGACTTAACGAATCTCAACGATCAGCTATTCCTGATTATACGCGATCAATGACGTTTAAAGGTTCAAATATCAATAAAAAACCTCATTGAGGCAATGTGGTGGGATCAAACTTGCGTCTATTTAAAGGTCATTCTGTCTCGACAGAGATAATTATCTACTTTCCAGTTATCTATTATAGTGACGCCAGTATCTCTTTTGGACAGTACCGGTGGTAGCAGTGACAGGAGTGTGGGGCGGCTCGGCGGCACTGCCCTGTGAGGTATCTCATCCCCCTGTTGACTCTGTCTACCTTCTCCTGTGGTTCAGGGACCACCTCACTACACCCATATACAGGTAAGTCTGTGTCTCATCATGGCTATATAGAGATGAGTCTGTGTCTCATTATGGCTATGTAGAGGTGAGTCTATGTCTCATCATGGCTATGTAGAGGTGAGTCTATGTCTCATCATGGCTATATACAGGTATCTCCCCTTTATCACACCCAATTCAAGAGATACAATCTCAATGTAACACAGAATCCCAAGAACATAAGAGAGCGAGAGAGAGAGAGAGAGAGAGAGAGAGAGAGAGAGAGAGAGAGAGAGAGAGAGAGAGAGAGAGAGAGAGAGAGAGAGAGAGAGAGAGAGAGAGAGAGAGAGAGGGAAAGAATGACATCCTTTAGATAAACAAAATTCACAATTCTAGATTTTCTGCTTCGTGAAATAGATTTCGCATCTGTTTTCATCACCAAGACGACGGGACCCGCATCTGGGGGGCTTCCTAGTTGTCTTCCAGAAGAACGGTTTGGCAATTTCCGCTAAGGAGATGCTAAGAAAGTGAACATCTCTTCTTGCAAAGCATGTAGCATCTTCTTTGTCAAACACGTATCACCGCGGGTAAAATAAATTTCTTTTGGCGAAAAGAATTTTTGTTTTAAACGTTAACCATCGCCTGGAACGATGAGGTTTCGTGTGATGGTTTGTTTAGATTTGTTATACCTTGGCTGGAAGATGGATTTGTGTCACTGGAAGATGGATTTGTGTCACTGGAAGATGGATTTGTGTCATTGGAAGATGGATTTGTGTCACTGGAAGATGGATTTGTGTCACTGGAAGATGGATTTGTGTCATTGGAAGATGGATTTGTGTCACTGGAAGATGGTCTTGTGCTACTGGAAGATGGATTTGTGTCACTGGGAGATGGATTTGTGTCACTGGAAGATGGATTTGTGTCACTGGAAGATGGATTTGTGTCACTGGAAGATGGATTTGTGTCACTGGAAGATGGATTTGTGTCACTGGAAGATGGTCTTGTGCTACTGGAAGATGGTCTTGTGCTACTGGAAGATGGATTTGTGTCACTGGAAGATTGTCTTGTACCACTGGAAGATGGATTTGTGCCACTGGAAGATGGATTTGTGTCACTGGAAGATGGATTTGTGTCACTGGGAGATGGATTTGTGTCACTGGAAGATGGATTTGTGTCACTGGAAGATGGTCTTGTGCTACTGGAAGATTGTCTTGTACCACTGGAAGATGGATTTGTGTCACTGGAAGATGGTCTTGTGCTACTGGAAGATTGTCTTGTACCACTGGAAGATGGATTTGTGTCACTGGAAGATGGTCTTGTGCTACTGGAAGATTGTCTTGTACCACTGGAAGATGGATTTGTGCCACTGGAAGATGGATTTGTGTCACTGGAAAATGGATTTGTGTCACTGGGAGATGGATTTGTGTCACTGGAAGATGGATTTGTGTCACTGGAAGATGGATTTGTGTCACTGGAAGATGGTCTTGTGCTACTGGAAGATGGATTTGTGTCACTGGAAGATTGTCTTGTGCTACTGGAAGATTGTCTTGTACCACTGGAAGATGGATTTGTGCCACTGGAAGATGGATTTGTGCCACTGGAAGATGGATTTGTGTCACTGGAAGATGGATTTGTGTCACTGGGAGATGGATTTGTGTCACTGGAAGATGGATTTGTGTCACTGGAAGATGGATTTGTGTCACTGGAAGATGGTCTTGTGCTACTGGAAGATGGATTTGTGTCACTGGAAGATTGTCTTGTGCTACTGGAAGATTGTCTTGTACCACTGGAAGATGGATTTGTCACTGGAAGATGGATTTGTCACTGGAAGATGGATTTGTGTCACTGGAAGATGGATTTGTGTCACTGGAAGATGGATTTGTGTCACTGGAAGATGGTTTTGTGTCACTGGAAGATGGATTTGTGTCACTGGAAGATGGTTTTGTGTCACTGGAAGATGGATTTGTGTCACTGGAAGATGGATTTGTGTCACTGGAAGATAGTCTTGTGCTACTGGAAGATTGTCTTGTGCCACTGGAAGATGGTCTTGTGCCACTGGAAGATGGTCTTGTGCCACTGAAAGATGGATTTGTGTCACTGGAAGATTGTCTTGTGCTACTGGAAGATTGTCTTGTACCACTGGAAGATGGATTTGTGTCACTGGAAGATGGATTTGTGTCACTGGAAGATGGTTTTGTGTCACTGGAAGATGGATTTGTGTCACTGGAAGATGGATTTGTGTCACTGGAAGATAGTCTTGTGCTACTGGAAGATTGTCTTGTGCCACTGGAAGATGGTCTTGTGCCACTGGAAGATGGTCTTGTGCCACTGAAAGATGGATTTGTGTCACTGGAAGATGGATTTGTGTCACTGGAAGATGGATTTGTGTCACTGGAAGATGGATTTGTGTCACTGGAAGATAGTCTTGTGCTACTGGAAGATTGTCTTGTGCCACTGGAAGATGGTCTTGTGCCACTGGAAGATGGTCTTGTGCCACTGAAAGATGGTCTTGTGCCACTGGAAGATGGTCTTGTGCCACTGGAAGTTGGTCTTATGCCACTGGAAGATGGTCTTGTGCCACTGGAAGATGGTCTTGTGCCACTGGAAGATGATTTTGTGCTACTGGAAAATGGTCTTGTGCTACTGGAAGATGGTCTTGTGACTCTGGAAGATGGTCTTGTGCTACTGGAAGTTGGTCTTGTGCTACTGGAAGTTGGTCTTGTGCCACTGGAAGATAGTCTTGTCCCACTGGAATTTGATCTTATTCCACAAGGAGTTGATCCTCTGACACCAGAAATTAATCCTGTTCCACAGAAACCTAATCCTGTTTAATAGGAAGTCAAGTAATCGACAACCGCTACAATGTTTCATCCTCTGTTCCACAAGATGTTATCTTGTCCTGTCCCATATCACCCTTCCTAAAGACGTGGAATGTACTTCCATTACCAGCTATCACAAGACCAAATTATGTCTTCCTGGAACGATAACTGATGGTGAGCTTAAAAGTATTTTCTGTCGCACAGTCTCACGTGTGTGTGTGTGTGTGTGTGTGTGTGTGTGCTTGTATCTCTTCCATTTCGATGGACCGATGTCCGAAAGGAGAGAGAGAGAGAGAGAGAGAGAGAGAGAGAGAGAGAGAGAGAGAGAGAGAGAGAGAGAGAGAGAGAGTCACTGGGAAAGAAGTTTTAAAGGCCCAGAAAGGAGCCGGATTTTCCGTTCAGGATGCAAACCTAATTTGGAGCTGGAAGAGGATAGAGTCGATTATCTCTGAGGCTTCCAAGAGCCTTTCCAGCCTGGGATTGTAAACAGTATATATATATATATATATATATATATATATATATATATATATATATATATATATATATATATATATATATATATATATATATATATATATATGTCGTACCTAATAGCCAGAACGCACTTCTCAGCCTACTATTCAAGGCCCGATTTGCCTAATAAGCCAAGTTTTCATGAATTAATGTTTTTTCGTCTACCTAACCTACCTAACCTAACCTAACCTAGCTTTTTTTGGCTACCTAACCTAACCTTACCTATAAATATAGGTTAGGTTAGGTTAGGTAGGGTTGGTTAGGTTCGGTCATATATCTACGTTAATTTTAACTCCAATAAAAAAAAATTGACCTCATACATAGAGAAAAGGGTAGCTTTATCATTTCATAAGAAAAAAATTATAGTAAATATATTAATTCAGGAAAATTTGGCTTATTAGGCAAATCGGGCCTTGAATAGTAGGCTGAGAAGTGAGTTCTGGCTACTAGGTACGACATATATATATATATATATATATATATATATACATATATACATATATAAGTATTTTCCAGTTTGTCCAAGGTACACACACACTCACAATCATTGCAGAGAATTGAATACACACAACCTGCTGTACCAGGGGGAAATTTGTATTAAATTGGACTTGATCGTACTATTCTTGAACACCAAATTGATACTAAGGTTCTTAAAATCGGGGGAAAGTTTTTCAAATCCTACTGCATAAGGTACCACCAATAAGAGGAATTAGAAACTTAGTAAAACAGGATAAATATCCCAGAAAGGAATCCAGAGGGATCTGGATAAATAGCAGATCGGTTATATAGACTTCGTCTAGGTTACAGATGCAACTGGGAGATTGGTGAACCCCGACAGAGAGAATGCATCTTCTGCCAATCACAGAAAAGTGATTGCCAATCTTCTGTCAATCACAGAGAAGCCACTACTTCACTATCTCCTGGAATGTGAAGCAACCAATGACCTTAGAAGAGCTTTAAGAGTCCCTGAATCTTGCAGTAACAACCCTGAAGCCATCAACACTGTTATCCTTCTAGTCATAAAGACTGTCCAGCAGCTGGACACCCTCATAAAGACTGTCCAGCAGTTGGAGACCCTCATAAAGACTGTCCAGCAGCTGGACACCCTCATAAAGACTGTCCAGCAGCTGGAGACCCTCATAAAGACTGTCCAGCAGCTGGAGACCCTCATAAAGACTGTCCAGCAGCTGGAGACCCTCATAAAGACTGTCCAGCAGCTGGAGACCCTCATAAAGACTGTCCAGCAGCTGGAGACCCTCATAAAGACTGTCCAGCAGCTGGAGACCGTCATAAAGACTGTCCAGCAGCTGGAGACCCTCATAAAGACTGTCCAGCAGCTGGAGACCCTCATAAAGACTGTCCAGCAGCTGGAGACCCTCATAAAGACTGTCCAGCAGCTGGAGACCGTCATAAAGACTGTCCAGCAGCTGGAGACCGTCATAAAGACTGTCCAGCAGCTGGAGACCCTCATAAAGACGGTCCAGCAGCTGGAGACCCTCATAAAGACTGTCCAGCAGCTGGAGACCCTCATAAAGACTGTCAAACAGTATCCTCCCCCGCGATAGCAGCCTGACGATATAAATGCGACCTCAGAACACACACAGTATACATTCACTCCAAAAAAAATCTACCACTTACGGGCTATTCATGCCCGTGCCACCTCTTGGGTGGCTTAATCTTCATCAATCATCAATCTTCATTGATTGTACT